GGTAGGAATTGAGCCTAGGACATAATGTTGCAAATTGTCAAGCACTAACCAATTAAGCTTGGCTCTTTCCTAGAAGTGGTATGCCAATGGGGATTTGTGCCCCTATTCTTTGGTGAGAATTGAGTTAGAGTTCTCATTATGGTGCTCGGCAATACTGCAGCTAAGGTCTCAGGTCATTCTCAAAAGTGGTATGTCAATGGAGATTTGAGCCCCTACCCTTTTGTGAGAATCGAGTCACAGATCTCACCATGGCGCTTGACAATACTACCACAACTGCCCCAGGTCATTCTTGCTTATATAAAGTGTTAACCTTATACTATTGAACTAAGGCGCATCTCAAAAACCCATTGGAAAAGGTTGTTTTGATGCTGGATCCTCATATTGATCATCTCAATCTACAGATGCGTGGCTATGTAAGGATAAAAAAAGAAATCAAATAATGAAACAATACATCGTGTAACACATTATTTAAATCATCCATTATAAAAACTAAGTGTTTAAAGATTTGTTTGGTTTGCATCATTTTTAGAGCTTTAAATTTCATAATTTGAGAGAACAATAGATTTTCATGCCATCGCAAAGATTTTCAGTACTGAAACTGTATCTTGCGGCATAATTTTGATGTGCACCTTACTTCAATAATATAAAGTGACACCTTATCTAAATCTCACCCTAAGGGGCCATTTGGATACCTGAAAATATATTGTCTGTAAAATATATTACGGGCGTAATACATTACCTGCAAATGGATTGTCACTGTTTGGATATTATTTATATGCAACTTGAGAAATATATTGCTACTATTTGGCTATGTCTGGAAGAAATATGAGAAATGTGTTACCATCCAAAAATGAAAAATATGGCTATGTTTGGCTAACATGATTAAACTTTGATTTCAACATGAAAAGTCATTGGAATAATATGATTGAAATAACATGATTTTATTGTGATAAGCTTTATGTTTATTTATTTTTTATAAAAGTCTTTCAAATGTTTCTTTACATATAATTTCAAATAAGCAATAATTTATGATACGAAAATCAAAATCTTTATAGTACAAGTTAAAAAATGAGAAGAAATTTGATTAGTAAACTATAAGGTTTGGTAATTGCAGTAGAAATTTTTGAAGCATTGGAGGAGACTAAGCGGTATCTTATTTTAATTGAACTTTACTAATATCTTATGAGGATTATGTTGTGCGAAATTTTTTATTATGATTGTGTTGTGTAATTTCTCATCGATTATCAATTATTATTTTTATTATTTTTGTTTTTATATGAGAGCTAATGGTGGGCTACCACCCAAACTGGGGATATAGGGAAGTATAAATTTTCTTATTATGATTGCAGTAGAAAATTGTCACTCATTAAGGTCTACAACTGTTCAAATCAATTTAGATTTCCTTTACTTTTACTTACCAATTATTTTAAATGGGATAGGGCGAGATGCACTCGAAAGATTTCCAAAGATTACTCATCAACCTCGTAATTTCGTGTCTTTCCATTTCCTTACTATTAAAGTGTATCCAAAGAGTGTAAATGTCATATTGCTTGTAATCTATTGTCACGTAATAGATTTCCACGTACCTAAACGGCTCCTAATTGAACATATCATGTTGTTCATGAATAAAAGAAGTTACTACATTTGGAGACTTGCTTGATGGAAGAAGACATGCAAGATGCCCTATATCTTGCAGCTCCGATACCATGATAAAAGGCTGCAAGTTGAGGAACCCTTGATGCCATGATAAAAGGTTGGAAGTTGAGGAACCCTACATCGAAAAGCCATTAGAGGGGAACCGTATTGTTACCTCTAAGGTCCTCAACCCTGTTCTTATTAATTTTTAGGGATTTTTTGCTATAAAAAAAGAGGGAAAAAGTTTATACAAGGTTGACACATTAAAATATAGAATTAAGGTGCACCTCTAAAATCTTATGAAAAAGACTATTTTGATAGTAGCAAACAATCTAATTGATCATCTCAACATCGTGATGTATAAATATGGAGAAAAAAAAGAAATTTAAAGTCTTAAAAATAATACATCCTGCTACACATGATCTAGATTGTCTATTTTCAAGATTGTTATGTATTTATAAATCTGATTGATTTGAACTATTTTTAAAATTTAAAATTTTACAGTTAGAGATAAAAAAACATTCTCACACCATCTTAAAAACTTTTGACACCAAAATTGTATCTCATAATAAAGTATGGAAATACACCTTAATCATCTTATTGTTTAAGATCGTAACCTCATGCAAACCACACCCTAAAAAAAATCACATGGAACAAACAACTAATGAGCCGGCTCAAGAACTGCTTGAGGCTTTAAAACACTAAACCTACCGATAAAAATGATTAATAAACTGGGTATTAAAACACCAAACCTACTAAAAAAAATGATCAATGAACTGTCAATGACGGATGCCTGGGCGATGTAGGGACGGCTGGTGAGTAATATTAGGTAGTAAGCAATAGCAAAATGAATATTATTAGGCATCAGCATAGTGACTCTTTCAAAGTAAAATATTGAAGTAGGAGGAATAAACAAATTGGTTACGTCTCTCTAAATTCGGAGCAAAATGAAGACAAGGGTGGGCCAGTGGGTCAGGGGACGGACCTAATTCGTTGAAAACCCTCATGTCCAAAGTCCCAGGGCTGCTTTTCCATCAAACACTTTGGCATGTGCCCCTCTCTCTCCCTACTCTGCCAATACCTCTCTCTCCCCCTATTTCCCAGTGTGCCATGACTTGCCCCAATCCAATCGGACTCCGGCAAGCAAGTCGGCGTTGTCCGAGGCTGAGTTTCTTCGAGTTAGGTGTATAACTCAGATATAGAAAGAAAAATTTAAAAATTCTAAAAAAACAATCTAAAAATAATGAATCCTCGAATGATGATCGGATATACATGCATATTGCTTTATGATCTCTTCGTATTTTATTTAGATGCATTTGACAAAAATTGGTGAGTATTTTTTGCAATAATAATTATTTTTATATTTTTTATTTTTCTTGAATTTTTTTTTAAATGTCTCAAATTGTGAATTGATGTTTTAATTTATTTTTTCTATATTTTGTGCTTATTTAACTTTTTAAAATTGTTTTATGTTTTAATTTCACTTTGAGATTGTCTACAAAGATACCATTTATCTTTTATACATGGAGGTCACAATCATTATTTTTCCTTAAATTTCATATCTAATTATAAAATTCGAAACTTCAAAAGTAGTGTAAATTGAGTAGATCTATGAACACTTGAAAATCTTGAAAATTGACTTTATGAAAGTGAATTACAAAGTGCACTATATATAAGACTTAAAATCTATTTTTTCTCATGTCCATACATATTGAGGTCGAGATGATCAATTTGACGATTTTGGGCTTCAAAACAACCTCTTTAATGAATTTTTGAGGTGCTTCCTACTTTGATTGTTTAGAGCATCCGCCTACTTTCAGTTCATCACAAAGATTTCCAATATTGAACCAGCAGCTTTCGACATTATTTGAAAGTGCACCCTACTTTGATTGTTTAGAGCATCCGCTTTTACAATCCTTTTAAATTTACTACAAGTTTTTTATTTTTTAAAATAATTTATTCTTTTAATTTGTTTAAGGTTAGAAGGCCCTGTGCTAGACTTGGCCTAAGTATCTTGTCTCTATGCCAGGGGGTAAGTCCCCGGGCAGAATCTTGGATCTTTGAACACTACTCTCTCTGTCTCCCCCGTAAATGCTGACACACTCTTGCAAAAGACAAAAAAAGAAAAAAAGAAAAGAAAAGTAAAGAAAAAAACTCTTTCCTGCGACCCACACACACTCACTCTATTACAATCTCTCTCTCGGCCCTTTACAATCTCAAAATTTTTGGTTTCTTTTGCTTAGTGAACATTATACCAACAACCAACAGCCAAAGAAAAGCCTAGTCCCCCCTCATATGCACATCTCGATGGACGGCCCGGATCACTAGCAAGTGCCAGTTACTAATAAGGGCAGTCCAAATTATCCGTGATTGCTGCAAAAGATAGGGTCATATATATTTGTTGATTTTGACACGCGTAATGTTTTACCAAAAAGTGGAAAGCCAAGACGAGATATTCTACTCGCATAGGAGCATACTTTCTATTTAGGATTAGTTTTAGAACCCCGAATTTTGGAAATATAACCTCTTTAATATAAATTAATTTTAATGAAAAATTTCTTAATTGCACCCTCTAAACACTCAAAAAAATAAAAATCTCAAAATTGAGTAGTTATCGTCCAATTTTAGAGAGTAAGATGCAAGTTTTAGAAGACTCAAATTTCATTTTTTTTTTTTCTGGAGAATAATCGTCTATTGATTTTAAGGTGGTTACTAAAATTTCATATTAAAGAAAAACGTCCCAAATATATCACAAGTAAACTATGGCCCCGTGGGACCATACTGAAACGCGTAAATCAAAACAAAATGATAATGGATAGAAGGCGTATGCGTACTTCCAAAGACCAGAACAGTTTTGGCTCTATTAGAATTAAAAAAAGAAAAGAAAAAAGGAATCATCCAAACTAAAATGAGAAAGAATTACGAATCCAGGAAGAATGAAATAAACCCTTTCTTTTTAACTAGGTTTTCAAAAGATGAAGTAACTGCTCAATTTTTAAGACATTTAGGTTGCCCATGATTTAGGGATTCCTGCAAAAGCCGCGGCATCTTTGAAATTGGGCCAAAAAAAAAAAAAAGAAAAGAAAGAAAAAGAAAAAGCAGAGTCATATTGCATTCTTATCCGTAATTTTTGGTTTCATACACAAAAAGAATCATCCGAGTATGAAAAGTGGCAAACTTTTGGCTAGATACTTTGGGCGCCACGTTGCCCAAGGATGTAGAGAGAGAAAGAGTGAAAAAAAAAAAATATTATTGTTAGGAATAAGAAATAAATGTAACGAATGTAAGTAGAGAGAAAGATTAAGATAATAATGTATAAATGGGTTAACGAATAAAGAAGAGTGGAGAGTAGGAGAAGATTATCACCGAGATAAGAAAAAGCAATAAACATAGAAACGAAACCGAAATTGAAAGAGAGGGAACACAGGAAAGTAAAAAAGATAATTCCTTACTTTGGGAATGGAATGTCTATATTTCTTTGCAGCAAAAACAAGGGATAATCGGGGCGCCTCCCTCTTTGGATTCTCCTCCCCTCGCACGCATGGCCCTTTTCCAGAGGGAAGCACTTTCTCTCTCTAAACCCACCGTAATTCTCTCTCTAAACGCCAGCCTTAATAATGCGTTATTATCATGGGTTAGACGACCCAAATAACGAAAACCAGGGCAATCTTACCCAAGACAGCTAGCTCGCAGCAGCACTCGCTTTCTACCAGCAAAGTACAGGACTTTTAGAGAGAGAGAAACTGTTAGAGAGTGAGACAGAGAGCGGGGAAGGGGGTTGCGAGGTGTTTGCCAAAATGCTCCTTCCGCTCACTCGTATTTCCCTCTGCGCACTCCTCTGTTTATCTCTCCTTAACGGTGTGACTCCCTTCAATGGCTACACACCCGTCCATGGAGTCCAGGATCCGGAAGAAGTGGTGCGAATGGTGCAAAGGTAAAGACTTTCTCTCTCTAGAACTCAAATAAGAGCATTCCATGTTTTCTCTCTCTTAAGAGGCCAGATACGAAGCTCGCATTCGGCATTCCTTATTTCCTCTCTAAACCCCAACATTTCGAATCAGCATTCCCCTGTTTTCTCTCTCTCTCTCTCTACTGTGCAAGAATAGAAGGTCGTGTGCATTTCTTGTTTTCTCTCTCTAAAACCCAAATGTGCAAGCATGAGCATTTGTCTGTTTTTTTTCTAGTGCACAAAACAGGGGACGGCTGGGTAGGGTATCAGCATTTGCCCTCTGTGTCTTGTGTTTTGATCCTCTAAAGTCTAAAACCCAATGAAAGCCAGAGCAACATTTGCATTTTCCCTCTTTTTGTTGTGTTTTTCCTGTAAAAATCCAATGAAAGCAAGGGTGAGATTCACATTTGCCCTCTTCTTCTTCTTGTTTTGTCCCTCTAAAACCCTAATGAAAGCCCGAGTAAGTTTAGCATTTTCCCTCTTTTTTCTCTATTTTCAATCTCAAAATGTGTGGATATTTTTTGGTCTTTTGCTTTTGGTGATTTTCAGAAAGATGAACGAATCCATAACCCGACGCCATCTCCAGGTCTCCGACCCCTCCTGCGCGACCGGCAACCCCATTGACGACTGCTGGAAGTGTGACCCCGACTGGGCCAACAACCGCCAGCGCCTGGCAGACTGTGGCATTGGCTTCGGCCGCGACGCCCTTGGCGGCCGCGATGGACCCATCTACATTGTCACCGATCCCTCAGACGACGACCCTGTTAATCCCGCCCCTGGCACCCTCCGCTACGGCGTCATCCAGGCCCAGCCCCTATGGATCATCTTTGCGAGAAGCATGCTCATAAAGCTCAAAGAAGAGCTGATTATGAACAGCTTCAAAACCCTGGATGGCCGAGGAGCCGACGTTCACATAGCCTTCGGCGCCTGCATCACCATCCAATACATTTCGAACGTAATCATCCACAACATCAACATACACCACTGTGTCCCAAAGGGAAACACCAATGTCCGAGACTCGCCAAACCACTATGGGTACCGCGGCAGATCCGACGGCGATGGGATCTCGATCTTTGGGGGACGACACATATGGATCGATCACTGCTCCCTCTCCTACTGCACCGACGGCCTGATCGACGCCATCATGGGATCGACTGCGATCACGATTTCGAACTCCTACTTTTCTCACCACAATGAGGTGATGCTGTTGGGGCATAGTGATTCATACACGCCGGACTCGGCAATGCAAGTGACCATTGCTTTTAACCATTTTGGGGAAGCTCTGGTTCAAAGAATGCCGAGGTGCAGGTTTGGGTACATACACATTGTCAACAATGACTTTACGCAGTGGGAGATGTATGCAATTGGAGGGAGTGCCAATCCCACCATCAATAGCCAGGGCAACCGCTACATCGCACCGTCCAACCCTAATGCCAAAGAGGTCACTACCCTCTTTCTCTCTCTACGTTTTCTTCTCCACCATTTTTTCTTCTCTCTCTCTCTCTCTCTCTATAGCTTCTCCTGTGCTTTTCCTCCGTTTGGATTTCCTTCATGTTGCTTTTCATGGACCCCAGTATTCAAGGTGAATCTCGCCCTATTCTTGTGATAATGTTTTTCAGTGTCCTATTGGTCCCACTTTTGGATGCGGGACTACTTGGCTCTTCTCCCTACCACTGTTTTTACTGCTGTGGGGCTTATTGTTATATGGATTTCTCGCTCTATAGATAGTATAAGCCAATGCATTTTTTTGGTTTGATTTGGACAGTCAATTTTCAAATTTTGGTTGATTTGGACAGCCAATTTTCAAAATTTTTTAAATTTTTATAATTAAAAATAAAAATATATTTTAAAGTTCTTATAAAGATTTTCATTATTGAAACCACAGTACTACTTGAATGTGCGTCTTACTTTGATTGTTAGAGCCTCGGCTTTGTCTATGAATTTTTGACAGTCCAAAAAAAAGTGAAAATGTGGTTGGGTAATTAGGTGACTAAGAGGGTGGATGTGGATGAGAGAAAGTGGAGCAATTGGAATTGGAGGACGGATGGGGACTTGATGGTGAATGGGGCCTTCTTTGTGCCATCGGGTCTAGGCTCCGCCTCAAAATACGAGAAGGCTTACAGTGTCGAGCCCAAGTCCGCGGCTTTCATTGACGCCCTCACCCGCAACGCCGGCGTCTTTGGCTCCTCACGGTACCAACTCTCTCTTTATATATCTTGTTTTTTCTCTCTACCGTTTCTATATCCTCTCTTTTTAGGGAAAGTGCTCTAAAAAATATCTCAAAAACTCTTTGTATGCTATGAGATCATTTGGTACGAGATGATTACAATCACTCCTAATCACATCAAATTTTTGAACGGTAGTGTTCCAAAGTTCAAAATTTAGATTTTTATTTTGAATAAAATCATTTAGATTTCTAGTTGGTTCCCAAAATTTCCAAAAATAATTCCTCTCAAGTTGATCTTCTGCCCTCTGGAGTAAGTGCACAGTATATGCTCCCGTGGGAGCATAATACACTTGCCAGGAAAAAGATATTTCGTTTTGGGGTTCTCATGGCTTGCCTTTATTCTTTGGACGTCCAACCTTTTGACCTACTTTGAGCAACGTGACAACAAATCCCAACTGTGCCTTGTCAATACTGTACGGTGTGGAGGTGGTGCTAGAGTTTTATAGGAATCACAGGTGCGAGTATCGATTATACTTGTTTTTTGCTTCTTTGGTGGTGGGCGAGATAGATTGTTTTTACTGTACATTCTCTTAAGGACCTGGATTCTAGGTGGCCAAGCCCGCATATGTAGAAATGCGGGCCTTTTAATAAATCTATTTTTGAGATGGGTTTTAAGACTTAATTTTTAAGAACATGTAATTTCTAACATAGAGATCATGAATATGAAAAATTAAATAAATTTTAAAAACTAAAAATAATAATTCTAGTAAGAAAACATTTAGACAGGTAGTTTCTATTGTTTTTATGATGGAACACCTATTTGCATCTATTTTTAAGATGGATGTTTTACACCTTCTGGATTGCATAGGTAGAAATGCGGTCCTGCTCGGATGAATCAATTTCCCTTCTCTTAATTATTTTAAAAAGATAAGAGTTCACTCGAGGCTTAATTTTAGTTTAGGGAAAGGTTTCTATACTTCTCCTATTGTACAGAAGTTCTATACTTCCACCCCCGAACTTGGGTTTTCTCCTCAAATTTGGGTTTTCTACAGCTTGCTAGTAAAGGATGAAGGACCAACACGTTGCAGCCATTTGTTCTGGGCATCTGAAGAATCAGAGAGTGTTAGGAAATTGTAGTAAACCCAAGTGCTAGGTTTATTTCTTTGTAATGTGGAGTACATTAAGTATATGCGGAGTAGCATACCAAAACCCGTGTAGATGATGTTACACATCATGTTGGTGATGTCATTGTCCACTATAGCTAATAAATATTTTTGTTTAAATTAAAAAATTTTCCTTTACATAAAAGTAATAGAAAAAGTTTAAATAAGGTTGCAAACTTAAAATGTAGAATTACAGATGCACCTCAAAAATCCATTGAAAAAGGTTGTGTTAATGTTGAAAACCTTCTAATTGATCATCTAGACATTGAGATGTATGAATATGAAAAAAGAAGTAGATTTTGAGTCCCAAAAATAGCGCATCTTGCAACACATTATCTAGACCGTTCATTTTCAAGATTTTCATATGTTTACAGATCTACTTGATTTTAACTATTTTTGGAGGTTAAGATTTTATAATTAAATATGAAAATAGATTTTCAGATAATCCTAAGAATTTTTTAAACCAAAATTATATGTTATGATAAAATTTGGAGGTATGCCTTAATTGGATTGTTTAAGGTTGCAAAGATATAGAAACCACACCCATAAGAGGCTCTAAACAATCAAATTAGAGCCTATCACAAAAATTTCACTAGAAGATGTTGTTTTGATGCCCAAATATCATCAAATTGATCATCTGGGCATCAAGATGCATGACATGATAAAAAAAATGGATTTCAAATTTTAGAAATAGTTTATTTTGTAATGCATTTTTGGACCGTCAATTTTCAAAAGTTTCAAAGTTTTATAGATCTTTGGATCTATACTATTTTTGAAGCTTTAAACCTTATAAATAAAGATAAAATATATTTTAAGGCCATCACAAAGATTTTCAGTATTGAACCACATTTCTCGACACTATTTGAAGGTGCGCTTTACTTTGATTGTTTATAGCCTCGGCTCTATGCAAACCCAAGGCACCTTTACTTAAAATACCTCTAGAGACAAAGTTACTGTATAATAGGACAAGGGTATCCAGTGTTAAAAAATGTTGAGGTCATTGAATATATACCCATGTGTAGAAAGACTAATTTTTCTCTTTTGTTTTATTTTGTTTTATTTTTTATTTATTTTTATTTATTTTTTAACAAATGCACTTAATTAGCCAACCTCCCCTTGTGAGAAAATAAAATTCTGATAATATGTCAACTGTCCAAAAACACCTTGCTCTCTCTCTTTTATGTAATTAGTGGTGTTGGTTTTAACAGGGACACCAGCACGAGCGTAATATATCCTGGTGGGAACAACGGTGTGGTCACGGGTGGCGGTGCGGGTGCGGGTGCGGGTGCGGGTGCGGGTGCTGGTGCAGGGATGGGTGATACTGGCGGAGGATATGGTGGGTACCCGGGAATGGTTTTCACCGGCCGCGGCGCACCGCCCTTACATCCCCCTCTCCATTTTTTGCCATTCTTCTTTTTAATGCTATTGAAGTTATGCACACTACTATTACATACTTGAAAAATGTGTAATGGTCAGTTATCCATTGATGCCAAGTTGGAAGGGTAAGGGCTCCTTTTTTGAAATTCAAGCCCTTCTACCTTTCTCTCTCTAACCCCCTTTTGTTTTTGCTGCTCTCTCGCTCTCCACTTATTTATATTCCACGTCCCTTTCAAGGCTTTTCTCTTTCATCAATGCCTTCAGGACCCGACGCTTTTCCACATTGCATGTGCCCTTGCTGGATTATGCAAATCTTAAGATTTAGATCTACAAGAGAAACTATTGGCTACCAAGGGTTTGTTTTCCCTCTCTCAGGTAAGTTTGGAAGCGGGCCGGGCCTGGCCCATGCAATGGGCCTGGCCTGTTAGTTGGGCCACTCCTAGTCCCCATAGGGCCGGCACAGGCCCCGATCTAATCGGGCCAAAAAAGCACTGGTCTAGGTCTGACCCTTTGCCAAAATGGGCTAGCCTAGGCCCAGGCCCGCCTTCGATCCATGGTTGCCTGGCCCTAGGCTTGGTTCTCAGGCTATATTTCATGGACCACCCAGGCCCACCCGTACCCAATAGAGATGTTATAGATTTTGGTAGCGAATGTCCCTAGCAAGTAGGGGTGGCAATGTTTCGAGTGTGGATTGGATCCAGCCTGACCTAGATCCAGACCTGAATAGTATTTGTTGCATATGATGTTATCCAAAATCACCAATATAAAAAAATCTCATATTATGTGAGATGAGATTGATATTGATATGTTTAATAAAGAAAATAGAAACCCAAAAAAGATTAAGATTCTTGGTTTTTGAGGTATATGTAACATCTATAAGAAATTTCTTATTTAATCTGGATTCTTAACCTTATATATATGAGATGGTAGATGAAAGAACATGTGTGCCATATTTGAGTCACCATATGATAAAGGCAATAGAAATCCAAAAAATGATTAGGACTCTTGCATATATATTTTGGTTTTTTAGGTATATGTAACATCTATAGGAAATTTCTTATTTAGTCTTATATATATAGGATGGTAGATGAAAGAATATGTGTGCTCTATTTGAGTCACCATATAAGAAATGTGGCTTCTCTTTAGAGAAAAGAGCTTCCCATAGAGAAAAATATTGTGATGGCCTCCTGTACACTCTTGAAGATTGACAGACGTATTTTCCATGGAGATTTTAGGTAGTTTTTCCTTTTAGTTATAGGCAAAATCAGTTTCTCGTTGCTTTGGCAGCTTTATCTGGTATTGTCGGTAATGGTTGTCAGAAATAAAGAGAATGAAGAGTAACATGCAATGTTGGTCAGGAGGGTGGTTTAAAAAGTTTGCTTGACTGGGTTTTATCGATAATTAGAGAGGTAAATCTATATCTCAAAATCTATGATGTAACTTTCGTTGGTATAGTAGATTCTAGTTTGTCGTGCCCGTGGATATAACCCTCTTGGGGTGAACTACATAAATTCTAGTGTTCCCTTTTACTATAATTTCATTCGTGCTTTATTTTTTTCTTGCGAAAACAAAATTGACCTATTGGGTTTAAAGCTTCCGAGCACAACAGTATTTGGGTCCAAAATTGGACCCATACTTGGATCCGTTGGGTCTTGGATTTGGTCAGATCCATTGCCACCCTATGACTATGAGCTTCTTGTTTTTTTTTGCTAATAATACTGTAAGTGTTGCCAATATTATGACAATATGAACAATTAACATGTGCCTAAAGACATATACCCTATGACTACTGGTATGGGTCGGGTCCGACTGGACCTGGAACCAGACCCAAATATTATTCGGGTTCAAAATTTTGACCTATACCTGGACCTGAGGTCTGGTCTACCCGTCGGGTCTAGGGTCTAGTCAGATCCATTGCCACCCCTACTAGCTGGTCGCTTCCCCATGTACTCTCTCCTATCTAGCAGCGCTGCAAGGTTTGAAAATTCTAAAGGAGAAGAGACTGCAGCAACCATGTATTGTAGAAAGGGACTCTATGGATGTTATTAATTGGTGTAATAACATTTCAAGGCCTCCGTGGAGGCTTAGATTGGCATGGCTGGCTTTGATGGAGATTGAGAATGGTCTTTGCGTAATCTATAGACATATGTATAGAGAGGCTAATGAAGTGGCAGATTCTTGTGTTAAGAAAGGAGTCACCTTGCATTCTCTTCAGATTTCGGATGCTCTATTTTCTCAATCACTTTGTAATTCAATCTTTATCGATAAAACTTCATAACATTGTCAAAAAAAGGCAAAAAAAAAAAAAAAAAAAAAGAAAAGAAAAGAAAAAGAAGAAGAAGAAAGTAGTAGCCGAGTTGTTTCAATTGGGAATGGATTTGGGGTTCAAGTGGTGGTTATATGAGGGGTTGGCGGATAAAAATGAATGACTCTTGACAATTGAGTTAGCTGGGTCCAAATAGGTCAAGTCGGCCTTTTCTGTCTCTCTCTTACTTTGAATAGTAGAGGAAGAGAGAATCTTAACTGCTTTCATGGATCCAACTTGATTTGGAACCGTCGCCGACCGCATCCAATAATTTACACACCCTCTCTCCTTCTCTTTCTCTCTCCTCGTAATCCACCGTCCCCACGACAAGTTTTATATGGCCGCTGGTCGTTAACTATTAAGACAAAAGCTGAAGGTTAATTTCACTTTTTAATCCATTTTAATACTGTTTTTTTTTAAAAAAATTTTTTAAAATTTTTTATTTATGATATTATTTACTTTTTATTGATAATGTTTGATAATGGAAAAGAAACAATATTAGATCAAAACTCTGCAATATTTTATGGGTGTTTTTTGTCCATAGGATCATGACAACAATAAGGTCATTCTCGCATCCAATTAATTGGGCGGTGATGGAGGCTGAGAGAGGGTCCAATCAAACATGGCAATAATTTAGCTACAAACCCTCCCGCATATATACTATGCTCCTACGGGAGCGTATTATGCATCTACACCTTTTTTTAGTCTAAGATTTTGGGAACCACATAGGAAGTACTAGATGATTATTATTAAAATAAAAAATTTGAATTTTGTGAGATCTAGCCGTTCACAATCTCTATTCGATATTGAGGCATTATTAACTTTAGTACAAAAGGAGTTTATTTCAAAATTTTTATTTATTTTTCCTGAAATTAGTATATGGGTTCCTCAAAATTTTAGATCTAAACTTTCACGGGACTAGGAAATCTGTTGGGTTCAATCACCATTCCACACATTGTTTGGATGGTCACGACCTTATGATTGAACCACAATCATAATAATAGATCATGGTATGTTTTTACGATAACACTACCCCACTTTCTCACAAGAGAGAAAGAGTGAGGGCAACTTGGGTGGGGGCCAATGATCCCATTGAAAATGGAGAAAGGGCCAAACTGCCAAGGCTCCTACATGGGAATTTTGCCCTGCCAATAAGGGACAAGGTTTCTTTCATCTCATCAATGAGGGGAGGAAAGACATGTCCTTCCCAAAAGAAAGAGAGAGAGAATCTTTAGCAGAAAAACTTGAAGAATTAAATAAGGAAAACAGGTCGCAAAGCTAAAGGGTAGATCACATCACACCTACATTAATAATGTATCACAACACACACCCAACCCTTAAATCCCATTCCTTGTGGAATTCTTCCATATCTCGAAAAGGGTTAGTAGAGTCTTGCTTAACATTCTTCTCGTATGCATGATTGCGCCCGTAACATTTCTCAATTAGAGAGAACACACTTGTCAGGATTAGTAATGAGATCTTACAATGGGTATTTCCTATACCAGGCTGCTCATGGGTACGACACTGATAGTATTTCTATTTCGAAATATAAGCTTCAAAGGTGGTCAAATACCTCTCTTCTTTCGGGGAGCAAAATAAATCACGGGTTCAACTTTACCCAAAGGATTTAAAAGAAAAAAGAAAATGGAGAAAACAAAAAGGAAGTGGTTTGATTTTCACCATGGTATAGCAAAACATGGGAAAAAGACATCCCTTGGTAAATTGTGAATAAAGTGTATCTCCATTAATCTTAGAAGCCACAACAGGGATCAAAAGTGGTTAATCTTGGTGACACACCTCCAAATCTCCAAATCATATATTAAATTTCACCTAAGGCTAAAGTCTCAATTATCACCTTTTTTCTCCTTGTGATAAGACTCAGTGTGCATCAGAGATGGCCATAAATTTAGGGCAAAAGAGTCTTCTCTTTTGGCCTGGTAATTGGATCGGGTGGTTAGTCGGTCGATTTGACATAGATTCACATTCAGATCTAACTTCTATATCTCGTGGGTCGTCTTTTGGACCCTAATATCTGGCCGGACCGGGACTGGTTGGGTTTGGGTCTGGATAGAACCTGTTTACACCCTTATTCTGGATGAGAGGGATGGTTATGACGATGATGATCTATTTCCAACTTGAAAAGAGTGGGGATCCACCCATTATCACTGCCCTCTAAATCAACAATGTTCTTAACAATATCTATTTATTCATTTTCCAATGCATATCCACTTCGAAATGGGAGATGATTGCCATTATTTTGTTTGTCCCAAATTCTCATTATATCTTCTAACTCATAATTATGAAGTGCCCATCTTTATTATCAATGGGGCCTCAAATTCATTTGTGATCTTACTTGGTTAGAAGAAATTGAGGCATCTTTCATCATTTTATCCATGTGCCAAACATTCCAACTTTTAAACACAAGTTCATATGTTATTACGAAAGAAAACGTTTATATAAGGATGCTACCTTATAATATAGAACTACGGGTGCCCGTAAAAAATCCATCGGAAAATGTAGTTTTAATGTTGAAAAACCCTTTGATTGATCATCTTGACCTCGAGATGTATGGCTATGAAAAATAAAAAGATTGAAAGTCTCAAAAATATTGCATTTTACAACATATTATCTACACAGTCTATTTTCAAGATTTTCATATGTTTATAGATCTACTTGATTTTAACCATTTTTGAAATTTTATAATTAGAGATAAACATAGATTTTGAGATAATCCTAATAACATTTTACATCAAAATTATATACCATGATAAAATTTGAAGGGCACCGTACCTCTACACCTACGGAGGTGTCTGTATGCCAACTGCACCTAGGAATGACCATCAGAT